AGGAACAGATTATTTAGAACGGTGAACTGTGCAGCGAATAATCAGGCAGAAGTTGATGTGGAACTGAAGGCCAGGTTACATGGTAAACACAGGAGTGTCTCAGCTGCCATGCAACAAGTCGCCACAGAAGTCCCTGCCAGGTACACTGCAGCACTATAACTTCCTATTGAACTATTCAAACGTCCCGCCATGCCAAGTACGTACAGCCGCCTTCACCCTTGTCAGAGCACCGTCCCTCTGTGAAGTCAGGACAGACATACTGCACAGGTTGCCAAGTAACTCTAGGGACCCCCCTCTAAGTACATCCTCACCTTTCAGTCGCTCTCTTTCCCTACGTCCCCCAAGCTGCAGCGAGGGCCCGGGATACGCCGTGACGTCAGGTAGCCCGTTAATTTGCATCCCGCGCACTAACATCAGTTGCGCGCGCGGCCACGTTTGTGCCGGGGGCGCGCGGCGGTCTTCAAGTTTAGATGTGGACGGAGGGACGATAGGGACAAAACTTTAGGAGTGTTGGGCAAACGCCAGGTTTAAATGCTGGGTGGTAGGTAGAATAGTTTGCCTTCCAACTTTTTTTTCTTTAAATTGACAAATGTGGCAGTTTTATTTTATCTAGATACCTCTGCCCCTGTTATTTTTTTTTCCAGCTATTTCTCTTTTAGGTCTTTATAGAGCTGTATAAATTACAGGGATCCCAACCTGAAAAAAGTAATTTCAGAGAGGTGCCTTTCTCATTTCAGGGAGGTGTACCCCATGGTATGGTATTTAATCACCACTGGGTTTTTATTTTGTACTATATAGTGAAAAAAGTTCTGAAAATCTTGAAAAAAAAATACCTGTTTTCCCTACGTTATATTACAAAATATTTATCAGTACCCAATGTTTTGGTAAAACATAAAAGACGGGGTCATGTAAGGTAAATAAACACCAAACATGTCAAGCTTTAAAATTGCGTGCGCCCGATAAATTGCAAAAAAACTACCATGCCAAAAATTGGCCATAGGCGACGCTTTAAAAGCTTTTACCTCTTATCAGTTTAGTATTATCAGTAATTATGGCCCTAGAATTATTGTTCACACACTGAAGTTTGCGGCGATATGTAACGTGTGGCGTAATTGTTTTCTCACGCAGGCGCACGCGATGCGTATTTATGTTTATATGTGCGTGCACGCAGGGGACCTAAAATTTATGGGGTGTTTTAATTCATTTTATTTTTTTAATATGAGACTTTATTTTTTAATAATAGACAATGTTTTAATATAGACTTTATTGGCTATGCGATAGCCAATATACAATGACAGGTCCTCTTATGGAGACATCAGGGGCCTCCAAGACCCTTATGTCCCTTTAAGGATATTTAAACCCTCCAGTTTTTTTTTTTTGCATATATCTACTGCTAGCAAGTAGTACATATATGCAAAAAGTTTTGTTTTTTTTAAACGTTTAAACAGCAGTTTAGACTCACCTGTGTTCGTTGCGCTTGGGCCTGAAAATGAGAAATTTTTCGAGCAGCCGCAAATCTTGGGGCAGGCGCATGTGCAGTTCTCATTTTCGGCCGAGACGTGACGAGGGACACAAGGTAAGTCTATGGACGCGTGCACCCGCATGCAGACACCGCTGGATCGGAGGGACAGAGCAGTCAGCGCTGGATCGGAGAGACGCCGCACCACTGGAGAGGAGGCTGAAAACATCAGGAAAGAAGAGGAAGATCGGAAAACGCTCTCAAACCAAGTTACTTGTAAACCAAGGTATTACTGTACTCAACCATTCTACAAATTCAGTAACAAACCAGGCAAAATTCTAGTGAAAGCTCTTAAAACCACCAGAGCTAGAAATTATATCTCCCATATCAAGAGTGACATGGGAGAAATAGCCCGTAGCTCTCCAACAATAGATAAAATCTTCAAATCATATTACTCTTCCTTCTACAATCTCATCCACAACCCTCAGGAAACTAACCATATCAAGCAACAAGAGACAATAAAAAAAATACCCTTATGAGTCAGGCATGCCTAAACTCACTGAAAACGAAAGGCTCTTTCTAGAGGCTCCCATGACCCAAGAAGAATATCTGGCGGTAGTTAAAACTATGAAACCTGGAAAAACTCCTGGGGCGAATGGCTACACACTAACATATGATAACATTTTCAATACCCTTATGGGCAGATTTACGGAATCCTTTAACCCTATCCTGAAATCTGTAATCCTCAAATACAAAAATCTTTTTTTATTAAGTAGCCCATTTAGTTTTGGTGTCTTTTTAGCAGTATACCTTCCTATTGTTAAATAATTAAATTTTTAAACCCCGTGTTAAGTACTTTACAAATACCATTTCAGTTCTTACCATATTGTCGTCACCATTGCATAAATGTTCCTGGACTTGCACATATAAAGTACCATCTGTAAGGCTGGGTTCACACCTGGGCGTTACTAGAGGCGCGTTTTATGCACGTTTTTTCAGCTCGCTTTTTAGCGCGTTTTTTAGTTCAGTGAAATGCGCATTCGACACTCGTTTTTATACCTCCCTGGCGGTATGATTTTTTTTTAACTTTCAAAATTCCCGCCGGGTTCCGCCCCCCTGCGACGCAGCCCTCCGCAGCCCGCTCGCAAGGGACGGAAGACGGCATCGGCCGTAGGACACAGCGAGGATCGCATACAAGGTAAGACCTACGCTGTATTCCCGAGTGTGGCTCGGGGTTACCACTTTGTTAACCCCGAGCCACACTCAGGAATACCAATGGATACGCGCTGAAATACGCCCCAAAGAAGCTCCTGTACTATTTCGAGCATAGGGCGTTTTTTCAGCATGTCAAAACACGCTGAAATACGCCGAGGTGGGAACCATGCCCATAGCACTCAATAGGATTTCACTTGCTGAGCGTTTTTCAGCGCTTCGATCAGCGCTGAAAAACGCCCAGGTGTGAACCCAGCCTTAGGCCCCATTCACACACGAATCGGCCTGCATGTACAGCTCTGTGCTGCGTGCGGGGCCGTACCAAGTAGCTGCCGGGAGGGACAGGTGCTGCGCGTGATTAGAACGCAGCTCCCGTCCTTCTCTATGGGGCTACGTGGCCGTACGCCCTCCTACACTCACCTCATTTGCAGGTCCGTAGGGGTGCGGGTGATCGTATCCATACGCCGCCGGAATGGAACATGTATGCGTCCCGACCAGAAAACCCGCACCCCTACGGACCTGCAAATGAGGTGAGCATAGGGGGGCATACGGCGGCGTAGCCCCATAGAGAAGGACGGGGGCTGCGTTCTAATCACACGCAGCACCTGTCCTTCCTGGCAGCTACTTGGTACAGCCCCGCACGCAGCGCGGAGCTGTACGTGCAGGCCGATTCGTGTGTGAATGAGGCCTTACTGTAAATTAGAGAGAGCCCCCCTGCAGCTGGGCCAAACACATAAGATCATTTACTTGCAATATTAACGATGTAGCATTTAACTGCTAGTTTACACAGCACATTGATCTCTGGATAATACTTATATTAATGCCTGCTTTTCTGTCTAGCAGCATGTGAACTTCAGCACTATAATCTATGTGAAGTGGCTTATGACAAACCCCACTAAATCCTGTATATTTATGGCTGCACTTTGTAAACTTACAAGTATAAACTCCATGTTGCCTCAGTCTTCATTTTTTTTAAATTGAGTTTTGCCAGGCTATTCACTAAAGGGTGAAGAGGTTGGAGAAGTCATGAGAATGAACAATCTAGGACAACATAGCTGAACTGGAAAGTGAGCTGAATTGGAGAATTTTTCCAAATCAGCTATTTTGTCCTAGATTGTTTACTTCTCCTGCCTTCTCCCATCAGTGAATAGATGTGTTGGTCTTAGGAGTTAACAAACAGACAAGCCTTCCTGTCTTTGGTCCTTCATCAAGCCAGTTTTCCATTGTTAAGACAATGTCACAACCTTGTCATTCCTTAACAAGTCCAGTTTGCTGATTTTATTTTAAAGACTTTGTTTAGATGCATTTTACACATTTGTCACACTGTCACATTTTATTAATTACCAGCATATGTAGTTTTAATCACTCCTTACTATTCATGCTGATCCCAACATATATTTATATCCCAATTAACTATTTCTTACTCCAACTTTAATTTACTAATTGGAAGAAAAAAATGTTTTTCCAGTTAAAATGTTGTATAGTTTTTTTTTTTTTTATAAATTTATCACACGTGTAGCATATTTTTTTTTCTTCTGAACGATATCAGTAATTGCAAACTTTCAACCTAATTATATGTGTATGTGCCAAGATGTACTGTTTGATAGACTATTCCTTGTGACCAAAGGGATTTGATTTGAACATTTATCTTTTTATTCACTTTTTATTCATTTGGAAGGCTGCAATGTTGGTCACGCGCTTGGGTATCATTGAGTAAACAGCCACAATTCACAATGCAGATGACTGAGTGCAGCTGCCTCCTTTTTCAATATATATTATAATATGTGTATCTAAGGCGAATAAGAATTTAATTTATTTTATATAGTGCCATGTTTTAAATGCTATAAATAAGAACATTTAAATTAGAATATGAGAGCTCTTCAAAATGTTCCCTATGGACTATTTACTATTTTGGTTGTAAAAAGAAAAAAAGAAACTTAAACAATATTTATCAACAACCAAACAGAAAAAAAACATGCAGGAAGCAACAGAATGTGAACAGAATGAGGACAGCCCATCAATCCACCTAGAATTGTCTTGTGGGAAATATATTTTTCAGGATATTGCATTTCATGTTTGCAGTACTGCTTTCAAATCACATTCCACTTGTATGAAAATAGATGTTGTAGATGCTTTCCTCAGAGTTTGTTAAGAAACTGGCCTGAAAGCAATCACATCAAGAAAGATAATGCTTCCTTCACTGTTACTTCACCAATTTTAATGAAGATGCGTTTGAGAAGAAGCACTCATGTGTTTCCAGCATGTACTCTACAGGGCACATGGAACCTAGCTTCACGGGCTAAAATACATAGGTCACCGTAAAGTAGTGTCCTTAAGGGTACACTCTGGTCAAATTAAAACTTAAACTTTAAAGGTAGACAGAAAGCAGAGCCCGCATACGTAGTACTTCAGGTCTACACCCAGGTAGTGCACCAGTCCACCACACTCCACAGTCCACCAAGTTACACAGCCTCCAGAACAAGCACTGCACTGGAGTATCAGATGTGCCAGCACTTCACTCACTTTCTGCAAGCTTGTTTCAGGTCAGCAATGCACCAAGTAGTGAAGAAAGAATAAAAATGAGAGCCCTGGAGCATGTACCAAGTATGTTCAAAAACAGCTCTGCAAGGGCTGCTCCAATATTTGTGTCCTGACAGGTTTGTTCTTGCAAGCTACAACTCACAAAAGGCCTCTGCCCT